TTGATAAATATTTTCATCATTTGCCTCATCCATTAGGTTTAGCTATAATAATTGATCCCAAGTGTAAAGAAATTGGTTTACCAGAATTTTTAGAGCGTATTTTCGATGATCAAATACAGTTTGCCCCTATTATGCAAACATGCAACAGATTATTTTAAGAATACAAGGCAGCTGCAGCTGCATCTTCATCTATAAATACACCTACACACACTACACTAGCAGTCCAATAATCTCGAGGCGGGAGATTAAGTATTTTCACAGTAATAAAAAGTAGAAGAATATCTCAACATATAAGTGTAAGTAGTTCTGAATTGCAACGTTATTTGGAAAGCCCGTCAGTGGATGATTTCGATAATTTTGACATTTTGGAATGGTGGAAACAAAATGATTCTATGTGGCCTGTGCTTTTACAGATGACCCGTGATATACTAACCGTTCATATTTCTACAGTTGCTTCAGAAACAGCTTTTAGTGCAGGTGGACGGGTGCTGAGTGACTATAGGAGCAGGCTTTCACCCGAAATGGTTGAGGCATTGATGATATCTAAGGATCACATGCACGCGCTTACAAGAAGACAAAATTTTAGTGAAAATGAGCGAATTCAATATGATTTGGATGACATATCATCGGGCAACGCGACTAAAATGTCTGTCTCCTCTGATGATTGATCAACAATTTATTTTTTACTATTTCATTTCATTTTGTTTTTTTCTTGGTTTTTGTTTTGTTTTGTTTATTTATTTATTAATTTTTTTGTATTAGATTATTGAGGTGGAGTATAATGCAAATGATTGGTAAGTTAGCATGTGCCAACCTAGTTGGGATGTACTTGACCTGTAGTGATGCAATTACTATACCATCATCAGTAATCTACACCTAATTTATTTAATAATATCAATTTTTATAATATTTTATTTCATTTTGAAATAAAAATTATTCATTCAATAAATGTTATAAAAATAATTTAATATTGTAATATTGAAAGTTTCTATTTCATATATATAAAATTATTCATTTCGAAAGAAAAAAAATACATAATTACATATTTTTTTAGTTATAAGTTCACAATTAAAAAAACATCAGTCATATATAATTAAATTTAAATATCACTATAAAACATTACATAATCAAACAAAATATTTCATTAATCGTAATTAAAATACTTTAGTATAATTTGCTTTTTAATTTTTTATTTCTATTATTAAAAAAAAAAGTCCGACTAGGCCCGGCCTGCGGGCCAAGGCCCGAGCCCAGGCCCTAGGCCCTATTATGAGTAGGCTTGGGCCCCACATTTTAGCCCATGGGTTGGGCCGGCCCGCTAAAAAATTGCGAGCCCACAAAGCCCGAATGAGCCAGCCCAGACCATTATTACACCCTTATGCCACAAAGCCCGAATGGGTCGGCCCGAGCCATTATTACACCCTTAATCCCGATGTTTTTTGGTGCAGTCTTCTCTGGTTCGTCGTGTCTTCTAGGATTGCCCTTTCCTCGATTCTATATGCCCGACCTCCCGCGAAGGCCGGTGAGAATGTCCCTTGGTCCCGTCGTGTTGAGGGACTGTAAGAACAGTTTTCTGCCCTCTTTTCTGGGCACTTTTCTTTGCTGTTGGAATCGGCGTATCTTGTTACGGGGACGGTGGCTGCATGACGTTGTTCTGCATCATGAAATTGACCACTGTTTGTAGGTCTGCCAATTTGTTCGCCATGGCCTTCACCTCATTGTCCCTCCGTAGGTATCTTTCTTTCCATACCTGGAGGTCGTCCTAGCTATAATACCTGCGTCGGTCCGTTTTCTTTGGTACATCGCCCTCCTGGCCGACGTCCTTTCCTCCGTGATTCTTATCATGAGTCTCTTTGTTGTAGTTGTCTTCTTCGACGTCAAGGTCAACAGGTTTCCCACTCCCAGTAGGGGTGTCGTCCCCAACCTTCTCTTTCTGTCTGTTGTTGGCCATCTATTCTTCTTTCTTTCCCACAGACGGCGCCAAATTGTGTGTGTCAATTTCCGACCACACTGCCAATCAAGCACTCAGCTGGAGAACACTGGAGGAATAGATTAAGCCCGAACGGAACACTGGAGGAATAGATTAAGCCCGAACGACCTGTCACAAAAAGAAGAGATTTCGGCAGTGGTTCGTCTACCTGGGGACACTCCGACGATCAAGTCAGTTATTTTTCAAAGGTAACAAAAATGCTTAACTCACTATTCAAAATATAAAAAGCATACCTTAGACCTATGAGGGTGTCTCTCTTTTATAGCCAACACAAACCTAGTCCCAATAGAAGCCTAGCGTCAATGGACTTAGGATTACTGCTAATCTTGGACTCCCAGTAGGATTGTGATAAACTCTCTAAGAGTCTTATCTTTATTCAAACTGAAATCCTCTCCCATTCTAGAACTCTTATTCCTTATCCGCTTATTTTGGATTTCGGTTTCTTCGCAGATAACTTCGGCCTAGCCGAGATCATCTCGGCGCCATGACCAAGACACATGACACCTCGGCTGGCACTCCGGTGACACCTCGACCACATGTTGTCATTCAAAAATTATATCCCCACAGTATCTTTTATGCTATCTATTTTTTTGTTATTTGTGTAGAATTCTCTCATTTGTGTGTATATATATATATATATATATATTCATAAACTGATTGCAGAGATGATCATCTAAGATCATTATGAGAAATGTCTAAAAATAGTTGACAATGCTCTGAAGTTCAGACAATTTATACTATGCCAGAATGAAATGTATAATATAATATAATAATATTGTTCTTGTGTTCTCTTTTTTAGCTTCTTGTTGGGTACTACCAGTTGTAACCAAACATATTAATTATCTCCGTTTTTTTTTTATTATTTTATTTTACTTTTAACGGTTGGACCATCACCAAAAAATTGATATAATGATATTATTACATGCATCTGCAACTTATCTAAATGAGCTTAAAATGAAATGAAAAAATTGCATATATGATGCTCTATCGATCTAATCACATCTAAGGCTTTCCATATATATCCTTTTTATAGTTACACTTTGCATCATGTGTCTTTGGGGTTCTGCTACCCTCTACATGTTTTTTTTTCTTTTTTTTTACATTGTATTTGTAGCGGATTCGTAAGGGTACAATGGAGAAGACGCACTTAGGGGATTTGGACTGTTTAAAGCATGCTCTTATCCTTTTCAATGATTTTGCTGCTGTTTTCATCCGAATTCTTATAATAATGCTGAAGGAATCTGTGAAGAAGAATAGAAGGTGTTGAATTTGACCAAGCACCCAGGCAACCAACCAAGGAAGATTTTTTTCAGTTGTCTATTATATCAACTTGTGGCGCAAAGGGCTGTGCAAGTGCAAGCATATACCTGAAAAGAGTGGTAAAGAAATGGAATGTTCAAATGACAAAACCTCCACACTAGATCAAATTAGTTTGTTTAATTCTATGTATCTAAATTGCATGCAGCATTCAATCAGGGCCGACGCCAGCATGTGCTTGATGGGTCCCATTCCCCCATCAAGCAAACAAAAATTAAAAAAAAAAATTTATTGTTAATATTTTATATTATACAATTTGATTCTTTTACAAAATTAAGGACCCATCAAATTGAAAATTAAAAATGTTTAATACAATAGTAATACTATTTCATTAGTACCATCGTCTAATAACATTTTGTCATTTATCTTATCATGTATACGTTAAAGGAAATTATCTAATATTTCCGAAATATTACGTATCTGTACTCTTTAACTAATCATTATTCAATATATTGCTCATGTTCCCCAATCATCTAACATAATACTCTACCTATCCATTTTCTCAACCAATCACAATACTATAGAATACCACGTATTTATATTTCAAAATTACTGAATACTTATCCATATGTGAAAATATAATTATATTATGAGAGTAGAGTTCACTCTCCACATGTAAATTTATTTGTAAATTTATTGTTGGTAGGTAATATTATGTGTCAATAGTGATATTGTAAACAGTTTTTTGAAATAATTTTTGAATTTTCATATTGTTGGTCTTTATTGAACTTTTAAAAAATTTTAAGCAGATTTTTTTTTGACTTTTAATTCATTTAATTTAGATACACTTAAAAAATAAAATATTTGTGATTTTTTTAAATTACTAAATATAAAAATTACAAAAATTCAAGATGTTTTTCACAAATTTATTTTTTAAGTGCATCTAAAAAATGAATAAATTATATATTTATATAAAAAAAAAATTACTAAAGACAACAAAAGGTCCATGAGGAACCGAGGGTAGTAAGGGTTTTGCAGAATTAGGGTAGGCTTTCTATTCCGGTCAAAAAAAATAAAAAAAAATAAAAACTCAATAAATGTTCTTTAGTTTACAAAAAAAAAATATTATTTTTAAAATTTACAAAACGCTTATGAAATGACCTTATTTATAAAAATATCTAGAGTCGCCACTGCCTTCAATCATAGGTCTTTCACAATGATGTTACCTATACATTAACTGTATTTAATTATGAAGGTTTTTAGTCAATTCTTGGATGTGTTAATAGTTGGCCAGTTTACTTGAGAGATTTGGAGATATATATGCTTTACAACAATGTACAAGAATTCATGAGCACAGTGCATCTATGAACAATAATTCCTCAACTTCGAACTACATATTATAGAACAATCACCATATAAGAGATTTTATTATAGCAAAGCAGGCCTTGTCAAGCTTTATATGAGCAAAACCTCAATAACCAAATTACAGAACATCCTAGTGAAGAAAAAAGTGGAAGCTTAACTTGAAAATCAAAATCAAGTAGCTGCAAGGCAAGTAATAATTTCATCAATATACTTATCTGAACTTCCTGTTTGAAATCAAGCTTCTTTTCATTATTAATAATATATAATATATATAATGTATATATTATATTTGTGTGTCATTAGTAGTCATCAGATGCCTTAGATAGTGCAATTTGCTTTAGTTAGTGCCATTTCCTTTCGGCTACTTTTAGTTTTATATGTTGTGCCTTTAATTATGAGTGTTGCCTTTCATTATGTTGTCTAGTAGCTTTTTATTATATTGTCTTGCAAATGTTGTGTAATCACTCCTATAAAATGGAGTCTCCCCGTAAGGATTAATACAATTGAAAACAAAGAGCCTGTTTGCTCTGTCAATTATTCTCTCCATATTTATTTTTTCACTTCCGCTTTCATCCACTGCCTCCGTAGCCAACTCCTTCCACCGCATAGCATTCTTCTTAATCTCCTTTCCTCTCTCTCCCTGCATAACTTCTCCGACGCATCTTTCAATTTCAACTGTAGTAGCAACACCTTTCTCATCCACCTTGGTTATAACTCCCACTCCCCAAACTTGCTCCACAAAATGAGCATTAGTTACCTGGTCTAAAAACTGTGGCATTGCAACCACTGGCACTCCAAAGCTTATGGCCTCCACCGTGGAATTCCATCCGCAGTGTGATATGAAGCATCCCACAGCAGGATGCGCTAACACCTCCAACTGGGAGCACCACGTCACTACCAATCCCTTTTCTGACGTCTCCTCCACGAAACCACTGGGAAGCTTGCTCTGTTCATCTGACCTCACCACCCACAAGAAACTGTTGTTGTTTTGCTTTAGGGCCTCTGCCATTTCAGCCGTTTGTTCTGCATTCAAACTTGCAACACTTCCAAACGAGACATACACAACAGACCCAGTATCCTTAGTGTTTAACCACTTCAGGCAATCTTCATTCTGTGGCTTATACAGTTGGAGGCCATAATCAGAGTCATTGTCCGCTCTCTTGTCAAGGTAAATAGATGGCACAGTTGGTCCAATTGTCCTAACAGGCCAGAGATTTGACATCCACTTCACTACCTACATGAGAGGGTAATTTTGGTGAAAATTGGGCCGAGCTATAAGATGGCCATAGTGGCCCACAATACAAAGGGCTGAGTAAAAAAGGCCGTAAAAGCTACTCCGGCCCAAGAGAGGTGCAGGATTACTCCGGCTCAAGATACGTGTAACGTTACTTCGGTCCGGAAGCAATTTGAAGTTAGATCGGTCTTGGAGTTATACCGGTCACGAATCGTTAGTTCGGTCTAAACCGTGCCATGTACAGTGCATGAGAAGCCGATGTAAGAGAAGTAAAAGGAAGAATTAGTTCGGCTCATTCTACGGCTATGCTTAGTCGTGTTTACTTCGGTCGTATTGGAGTTCGACCGTGATACAATCATCTCACTTGGTTTAAGCAGTGAGGGGGTGTTGAAGGATAAGCATTATCTTTCAGGAGTATGAATCCTAGGAGGACTCTGCATGGAGGAGTAGAAGTCCTACTAGGATTGTGCCACGCAAAACCTATAAAAGCTCACAAACATCACCTTTGGGGAGGTAACACATAACTTTGCTTTTTGAATACACGGAACTTTTGTCTATTTGTCAAGGTTACTGACTTAGGCATCGGAGAGGTTTCCGGCTCACACCCGCCGGCTAGCTTACGTTTGTGTTTTCAGGTGATAAAGTGACAACGTATGGAGGAGCGCAGACTTGGTCAACAGGATTATACGAGAAAATATATTTTTTTCCCGTACACTACACTTCAACATTCAACTTAGCAATATTTCTAACAAATAGATTGAATATAATCCTAGAAAGCTGAACTTCAAAAGAAAAGTTAGAACAGGTAAATATGATAGTTGCAAAGCAGGGCCACTTCAAATTCCAGTTAGATCTATAATTTGTTTTTTCTTATTTGGATCTCATTGAATTCAGACATAAGAGATATTCAATCAAATTGTCAAATTTAGATTAGGATCATATTAGCGAATAGCCAAATCATCTAAATATGAAAAGATAAATGTTAATATGGAATATCATAATTACACACACACAACCAAGTTGGACACTCTGTGATTAGCTAATTGATTCAAGTCAATCCGAAGGGACATTGGATTGAGAATTATGGCTCGATCTATTGACACAAATTGCCATAATCTTGAATTGCTTGAACTTGGAAGGTAAAGGAATAGATTTTTTTTTTAAAAAAAAACAATAATAAAAAAAAAAAATTGATATGCTTATTGCTTAGGCACACAGAGAAGGAATTAAACATTTAACTCACCTCTCCTTCCAACTCATCGAAGGAGTTAAAAAGAACCCAATCTGCCTTCTCAATGTTGCTGAATTGCTCTAATACGTATCTGATCATAGGGAGATAACGACTTGTGTCAGAACCGAACAATGGCATCTTTGGAATCCTGATCTCTGGCAAAGCAGGCATTGGAAAAGCAAGCACCGGCAGTGGCTCTCCTAATAAGTCGAGATGCATGGGGTAGTAACTCGCAATGGCAGCACATGACTCTGTAAAAAATGCAGCTGCAGCTATGCCCAACTGCTTGGCTATGTTGAGAGCCCATGGCATATTACCATCATACACGAGACACTTAACAGGATACTCAGAGCTTTCTAGTTTCCTGATGAGCTCAGTTACGCAACATGTGCCACTCGCTTCAAACCTATCAAGATAGCCCTTAAATCCTCCAGGTCCTTGAATCCCGCCTTCAGTGCAATCATCATATACTGGCTCAAAGGCAATTGACCCAGCTCTACTAGGCATGGTTTTGGTAACTGAAAGAACGGTAGTTACGATGACTTTAAGTCCTTTTGAGGCCAAACGTTTAGAAAACTGGAGCATCGGATTGAGATGACCTTGCCCATAAAACGGGAATACAATAACGTGAGCTTTGTAAACTCTCTCTTCCTCCATTCTTCTATAAAATGCTTGGTCTCAGCCTCTCAATATTTTCCAAGCTGTTAAAAGGCTGCATTTGTACCTCAAATCAGTTTTTGTACAAATCAGTTTTGTATAAAAAAATAGATAGTACTATAATTAACTATTGAAAAAAACAAATCTGATCAGATAGTTATCGATATCCGATCAACGTGATTTTTTATAAGCATATAGTACTCGATGAATTCTACACATTGAACGGTTCAGATTATCAAAATGGGACCCATGATGCCCCCACGGGCCGAACAAAACTGTCCAAGGCAATGTCCGAAAAGTAGCTAATAATTTCTTACCATCAATTCGGCTATTCAGATTGTACGGCTGTGGCCCACACATCTCTAATCTTCTCCTACACATTTTTTTATACAATTTTTAATACACATTTTTCTATAAAAAGTTAAAAAGTTAACCCAAACATTCATATTTTTTTTCTCAATTTTTTAATCTAAAAAGATAAAAAATACATTTATTTAGGACAATCCAAAAACCCATAAATTAAACAAATCAGTGTGTATATATGTATATGAAAAGCAAGTAATAATTATGAATATCAGAAAACAAATTCAGAAATAGTAAGAAAATTATCAACTAAGAGCATGTCCAACGGATTGCTAAAAGAGCTGCCAAAGCCATAATATAGCAGCTTGGGCAAAAATGGCTTCTCCAATAGCATGCTATAGCAGTTGCCAAATTTGGCAGCTGCCAAATCAGTTGCCAAATTTGGCAACTACTTTGGCAGTTGCCAAATCTGCCAAGTCACCCAAAAACCAACTGATTTCTTCATTCCTTCCTTCTATCCTTCCCTTTCAGTTGGACTTTTCCAGAATGTTTAAATTTAAAAAAAAAAAAAAACGAAATTCACCATTTTATTTAAAACAGAATTCACCAATTACTAAAAATAATCACCAAATTCACCAACTTTCCCATTCAAATTTCACCAATACAAAAATTCAAATATCAATATATTTTTTTTTTCTTTATGTCTTGCTTAAAATTTATTAAAAATAGACAATAGCTATTCAATAGCTGATGAATAACTCAAATGATTTCGTTTTCTTTTATAAATGCATGTTAATGTTATGGTTATTATGGGTTTATTTTGAGGGCGTGACACTTCATGTTTGAGAGGAGAACAGGAGATTCGAGGAACGAGGTCGGGCTGAGAACTGGATCCATCGTGTACTTGGCAGAGCACGATCCGGCGCTGGAGAAGAAGCCGGAGTTGGAATAAGCATCTCGGAGAGGGTCAAAGGAGTAGAATCAGAGGTCAGAAGGAGAGTGAGAGAGAGAGTGAAGAGAGTCGACTTCTGTTTGATTTGGAAGAGAGGGAGACAGATATGTTTTGTCTTGGAATGGAATGCAAGGATGATTCTAGATATTGCATCTCAATTGTTGGTACGTGGATGGTGGTGATGGTGCCTTGGAAACACAAAAGGCTCTTTTGTCCTTAAAAAAAAAAAATAAAAACAAAATGTAATATTATTTTTTTTTATAAAAGGAGCCATTGTAATGAAATTTCATGTTTTTTTAATTTTTGTTTGTTTTTTATTTTTGAGTATTTTTTATTACACAAAATGTAATTTTATTTTTACAATATATAATGTTGACTAATTTTTAGTATAATTTAAATTTCTCAATAAAGTATAATAAAAAAATAAATATATTTTTTCAAATGAAAACAATAAAAAGATAAAAGATAAAATAAAAAGATAAAAGATAATATATTTGACTAATATATTTTTTTGGTGGGGTGAATTATATTTAATTGTTTTTTCAATTTTTTATTTTTTTTAATTTTTTATATTTGTTTAGTTGAGAATAATATAAATATATAATTTTTTTAACAAACAGGTAAAAAAATGTCACAAAAGAAAAAAAATAAACAAAAATAAAATGGATGAAAAACCTATATCCAAACAATACTTACAAATTTAGAGGGAAAATTGGTTGAGATTTGCTAAAATAGCAAGCAAATGATCATTGGAGCACCATTGTTATAATTTGACAAAATAACACTATTCATTATCAAATTATAATAATGGCAATAACATATGGTTGGAGATGCTCTAATAGAGGGGAGCATAGCAGCAGGGGATTGGATGTGTTTCTTATGTATCTGACAGAGATTAGACTATTACACGATTGGCAAAATTGATTGTCCAAAATCCACAGAACAGCAATTCTGGACGTAATAAAAATGAAAGTAAAAATCCCATCAATTTGAATTCACCATAGCACAAGCGATATTATGGTATGAGTAATATTAGGGATTATGAAAATAATATCATAAAATGTATCATAAATTTTTTTCATTCTTTGATTAGTATTGATTAGTGTGTGGTGTTTTATGAGAAAAATTAGGGATCATGAAAATTTTTTCATGATCCTTGGATTACCTTGATTAATGTGTGGTGTTTTATTCTAAGTGTAATACAAGGGTCACAAAGCTTTCATGATTATTTTCATGAAAGATTTTTCATGATACCTAGCATTGCTGGTGTTTTATTGTGTGTATAATCCAAAGGTGGAGAATCTTTCATGATTATCTTCATATATTTTTTTTATGATCTGTAACATTACTCTTAGGGTATTATGAAATCATTCTTGGTATCTTCTAATAAAAGATCAAGAAGCGCAGTTCATATGACCCAAAAGTAACACTCAATGGAGGAATAATAAAGAAGAAGAAAGAAGAAGTTGAAATTATCAAAAATTAAATAAAAATCCCTTAAATCCCAAAACGACGTCGTTTTGGGATTTTTTTTTTAATTTTTCTTTCATAACTTGTTGCAGAAGAAGAAGAAGAAGAAGAAGAAGAAGAAGAAAGAAAGAAAGAAGAGAATAGGAGAGGAGAGGAGAGACAGAGAGATTCAACAACCAAAACCAAAACCAAAACCAAAACCAATCAGACATCATCATCAACAACCAAAACCAATCACAGATTCAAACCCACAAATCAAAACCAATCACAGATTCAACAAATCAAAACCAATCAGAGATTCACCAGAGAGATTCAAATCATCAACAACCAACACATCATCATCAACACATCGGAGAGGAGAGGAGAGACAGAGAGATTCACCAACCAAAACCAAAACCAGAACCAATCAGACATCATCATCAACAACCAAAACCAATCACAGATTCAAACCCACAAATCAAAACCAATCACAGATTCAACAAATCAAAACCAATCAGAGATTCACCAGAGAGATTCAAATAATCAACAACCAACACATCATCATCATCACACATAGAGACTTCACAGAGAGAAAGAGATACAGATCTGTGTAACACACAGATCTATTTGTGTATACACAGATCTATGTATACACACAGAAGATGGCGGGCGCCGGTGACAGTGCCGTTGAGGCTTCTCTCTCCCTCTCTGTTCCCCCTTCCTTCTCTCTTCCTTCTCTTTCTCTTCCTCCTTCCCTCCCTCTGTTTCAGATATAAAAGAGGGGGGGGGGGGGAAAAAAAACCCAATCGAGCCGCGAAGAATTCGAGCTCTGAAGCATTTTTCGTTTGTGTTTTTGTTAGTTTACAAAGATGTTGACTTGGACTATTCATTTTTTATTTAACAGTACCTAATTCCAAAATGATCAAAATAGCCAATTAGAAAAGGGAGAGAACATGATGAGGCTCTCTAATTTTAAACAAAGATGTACAGACAAGTGAGAGAGAAGATTAGCATGTATGTACTTGTGCCACTGATCAATGAAAGCAAGCAATTTTCAGAAAGAAGGCACAAACTTGATAGACTTGGGGGTGGTGGGGGAAGAATTGGTTTCATCTGCAAGGTGGCCGGAGCTGGATTCACAGGTTTAATATTTGTCTCTTGAAAAATGAATCAATCTATGGCTACAAGTCACTGTAGAAAATGTTAGCTAATAATACTACCCTTTTAGAAAGGCACGCATTTGAGGATCACATAGGGATATATTTTCTGAGTCCCAACACATGGCGAAGGTGATGCTGACGTGTTAGCCGAGGTGCCACGTGTTCGGGGTCATGACACCGAGGTGATCTCGGCAAGGCCGAGGTAATCTCCGAAGATATCGGAATTCGAGATAAGCGGATAAGGTACAAGAGCCCTAGAATGAGGAAAGACTTTAGAGTGGATAAGGATAACACTCTTAGGGAGTTTATCTTTATCTATTGGAGAGTCCAGGATAAGCACTGAGCAGAAGTCCATTGAAGCTAGGCTTCTATGGGGACTAGGATTGAGGTAACTATAAAAGAAAGGCACCCCCGATGGGTCTAAGGTATGCAATTTGTATTCTGAATAGTGAGTTAAGTACTTGTGCTATCTTTGAGAGATAACTGACTTGATCGTCGGAGTGCCCCCGGGTGGATGAGCCACCACCGGGATCTCTTCTTTCTATTGCAGGTCGCTCGGGCTTAGTCTATTCTGCCAGTGTTCTCCAGCTGGGTGCTTGATTGGCAATGTGGTCGGAGAATCACTCACACAATTTGGCGCCGTCTGTGGGAAAGAAAGGAGAGTAGATGGCTAGTGACGGACAGAAGGATAAGGTTGGGGACGAAACCCCTGTTGGGAACGGAAAACGCGTTGACCTAAACGTCGAGGAAGACGGTTGCAACGAGGAGACTCAGAACCAGAATCACAGCAAGAAAGACGTCGGCCAGGACGGCGGCGTACCAAAGAAACCAGAACAAAAAAGGTATTATAACGAAGACGACCTCCAAGTGTGAAAAGATAGATGCCTTCGAAGGGACGAAGAAATAAAAGAGATGGCGAACAAATTGGCAGACCTGCAATCGGTCGTCAATTTTATGATGCAAAACAATGTCATGCAGCCACCGTTCCCGCTGCAGGGCACGCCGATTCCAGCAGCCAATGCACAGAAGGGAGGGCAGAAACCAATCCCAGAAATCCCCCAGCACACTAGGAGTGAAAAACACTCTCACCGGCCTTCAAGGGAGGTCGGACAAGGAGAGTCGAGGAGAGAAGAGTCGCGAAGGACGCATCGTGCCAAGGAGGCAGACCGTAAAGAACATCGGCATGTTCAG